TAGTCAAACCCAGCTCAAAATTTTGATATCCCAATGCGATAACGCCAAATTCTACTGATCTCCGAAAGTAACAACTCAGCGAGCCGGTAAACGAGCTCCCTTGCTGAGAATTAACTGAATAAGATTCCGTAAAGTCGACGAATTTAGGGTTTCTAAATCCAAAAGAGAAAGTTTTCTCTCTCTTCTACTCCTGGGCATAGAGATTCGGGATAGAACATGGAATTAGGGTTTATTAAGAGGTTGAGAAACAAAAGCAATTTCAGAGTAAGCAGGGAAGAAGAAGAAGAAGAAGAAGAAGAAAGGGGAGACCGAAGGAGATTTCGGGCGATTCACAGGGTGAAGTACTCGAGTTGTGAATGCGGAATTGTAACTGGTCGGTTTTAAGCCGAAGCTGTTCGATGGTAAAACGACGCCGTTAAAATTTAAGCTTCATAAACAGTAGGTACTATCAAATTTAGATTTATTTTTATTTTATTTTTAATATGTGAGATCTAGCATTTATCGGTTTACTATAAGCTCCAGATCTTTTATAATGATTACTTGTAATGATGGTTTCCTTTTTGACCTTTCTGAGTTTAGATTCGGATTTTTCTTATAATATAAAATTAAATAAATATATATAATATTATAATAAATGTTTGAATAAAAAATTAATTATATAAAAATATATTATATTATAACAAGATTATAATATAATATTACATTATTAACTTATAATATGAATTTAAAAATATAAAATTAAATTAAATTATTTAAATGTTAATAAATAAAAAAATTAAATTAGAACAAAAGGGTATTTTTTATATTATTTAAATTTATAATTTAAAATTTTGGATAACATTTTTATATATCTTTAAAGACTAAAATAAAGATGATCCTTACTACATAACCAAACCATTAATTCACTTGAGATGTGATGTGGTTTGTTTTAAATGTTAATTTAAATTTTGGTGTCTTCTTTAAATCAATAAAATTTTTAATACGATATGATATTATGAAGATTTATAATTTGTAATTATTTATTTATTTATTAAGAGTACATATAATTATATTTTTCTTTTTTAAATAAGACAATTTGAGAGAGGGAGAGGAAAAAAAGGTGATTTATTAAACTTAAAAGACACAATTTATGAGAAATGATCCTGCTTAATCAAGGGTCTTATCATTAAACTGGGGCGTGGGATCGACATATAATTTAGAAGTTTGTTCCCGTACATGAATAATAAAATAGGAAGAAGTTAAAACAGAGTTCATTCTTCCTTGCATATGAAGACAACTCCTGTGTCAACCAACAGCGGTGACAGACGGCTACCAATAAGTTGGCTTCACCCCACCTTCATAAAATCTCAAAATAGCCTCAAGTTCAATGCTCTTTTGCAAACCCCACGTGTTCCATTCAATTTACCTAATTTCTCACATTGGAAATG